GTGTATATAACTTAACCTATTTTTTAGATATGTATTCACAATTAAACATATCAACAAGTATATAGCTATATATCCACGATTTAAGAAACGATTTGTTAAAATCTGTTAATGCTATGAAGGAACTTTACTAATATGTACGATCGCTAAACGTGATTAATTCGAAAGTCTGTTTTTAAATAAATTGATTCTTTACAAAGGTAACAAATTTTACTAGACTGAAATTATTAGAAATGCTTTGTAAAAATCATTTCATTGTACTATGACTGCATCGTTAAATATGTGCTATTATTGTTGCAGATTATATGTTAAGACATTAAGCAAGATAACTTGTATAATAAAGATTCTATGTATAATATTGTGCTACATTATTTATAAATTGACATCAATGGATTCCATTGATTTTGATACAATTATACGACATCCACGAACTATTATTCATGTAGATGTGGATTGTTTTTATGCTCAAGTGGAGATGCTAAGACATCCTGAATTGGAAGGCAAACCACTGGGAGTAAAACAAAAGAATATAGTCGTAACGAGCAATTACTCGGCTAGAGAATATGGAATTAAAAAATGTATGCCTGTCCAAGATGCTTTACAGTTGTGTCCAGGGCTGGCCTTGGTAAATGGGGAGGACCTAACAAATTACCGTCAATTTTCTGCCAAAATATTAGAGATACTACATCAGTTCACTCCTTTAGTCGAAAGATTGGGTTTCGATGACAATTTTATGGATGTCACATCTCTTGTACAGAAATGTATGAACTCTGGTAATGATTCTGAAGCGAACCTAGACATTTCCATGGAGGATCAAAATCCAATTGGTGAAATATTTGGCTCCTCGGACGAGGAATGTCCATGTGGTTGCCATGCGCGGTTAATCATAGCTTCTAAGATAGCAGCAGAAATAAGAAAACGAATTCACAAAGAGTTGCGCGTCACCTGCAGTGCTGGAATAGCACACAATAAACTACTGGCAAAACTAGTAGGATCATTGCATAAACCAAATCAACAAACAATGATATTTCCTTGCAGTGGACCAATGTTATTGTCCACGATTGGATCCGTATCAAATATTCCAGGCGTTGGTCAGAAAACTACGCAGATGTTAATGTCAAACAACATCAAAACGGTGGACGATTTGCGTAAGACACCTCTGGAGACCTTGGAGATGAAAATTGGCATTGAACTGGCAAGAAAACTGAAAAACAATGCTGAAGGTATCGACGAGACTATCGTGAAGCCAACAGGCAAGAAACAGTCGATAGGATTGGAGGACGGTTTCAAAAGCGTCTCTTTGGTAGCCGAAGTAGAATCAAGGCTCGGTGCGCTTTTAAGAAGATTGACAGAGTTAGCTATGGAAGATGGGAGGATCCCCATTGCTATGAGAATAACAGTAAGGAAGCACGACTTTAACAAACCAGCCTCCGGTAAAAGAGAAACACGTCAATGCGCTCTACCAAAACACTTACTGCCCTCCACAAAGTCCGGCGTTTACGATCATGCCAAGATGCTGTCGCTCGCTATGAAGCTGTTCCACCGAACTGTTGATGTCTCCAAACCATTCCATTTGACACTCCTGGGAGTCGCTTTTACGAAGTTCGAAGAGAGATCATCCGGGAAGAATAGTATTACATCCTTCTTGCGAAAACAAGTCGCTGTTCAGTCTGTTCTAGACATAAGTTCCGAGGAGGGTATATCAGATGTGAGTCTTGGGTCGCCTATGAGCGTGAACCAGGACAGCAATGACGGCTCCGCGATGAGCACCACCTCATCCCCCGTCTCGAAGACGATGGGTGCTGCCAATCAGGGAGCCGATGATGATCTGTTGAGCGAGATAGAACCTCTGCCGAAGAAGACCAGACTGGAAGTGTGGCTGAATGGCCGCAGAGAATCTCCGAGCAACGAAATGGCCGATCTACGGCTCAGCCCTTCGTCACCGATGCAGTTGTCACCGAAAATCGACGCGGCGGTCCTCAAGTCTCTACCAATCGATATTCAAAGAGAAGTGACCCGCTCTTGGCCGACGACTAGTAAACCAAAACCGAATAATATATTGAAATATTTCATAGCCAATAAGTGACGGAGTTCGGTGACCTAGATCGCAACGTAGCCATCTCTTTCTGTACACATCTCTGCGGTTACAATATTGGATGGCAGCACCATGTGATATTATGACTTTAAGTTACAGATGTCGCAAAACTCATTTGCAATCGCTTTGGGTATTAAACTTCTACGTATACACGTACACATGCATGCACACAAAAAAACACACACACACGTATATATATATATATTTTCTACGGCATTTACATCCATCGAATTTGTTAACACGAGGTGACTTTATCATATAAATCCCTACCAGAGTCTATGAATAAATTCGCATAAATACACATATATCTTATTTATTTGTCTTAACTGATCCAAACATCGCTTCGAACGTTCAGGAACAGATGTTTGGTTGGATCTGCATTTATAAACAAACAAAAATGTGTATTATCTCTGCGAGAGTATTTAAAGGAGCGTTCGACAAAAGTGTATAGACGATCAACGAAAAGTATTCCCGAGAGTTTTAAAAATAAGTTTCTATTCTCATGATGAAGCGGACAAGCATCGCAAGTGCATATACATACGATATACATAGGGCATAGTAAACGAAAGATGTTCAAAATAAAACTGTGTTATCACAATCGTTTTCATCTTCATTGAACAAAATCATTCAAAATGTATTGTCCATGTTGCGTTCAATGGGAAAACTGCGTCGCCCGTACGACGATCATACTTAGGAAGCGTGAACACTGTCGTTTATTAAATGGGGTGCTGGCATTTGATACGTATGCTCCAACGGCCGAACTGTGGTTGTATTGATTTCAAACGAGAAGGAAAAAGAAAAGAACTGAAGGGAAGTGTTTATATTTTTAGTACCGACAATGTTATGCTACGAGTGTAACGGGTGTTGTGAAAACATGCGCCGTAAACGGAAATACTCGATCGGCCCTAGCGTGCAACTGATACGGAGCTCCATACACGCATGACAAAAAAGTAGTTTCTATGCAGTATATAATAATTATCTAGAATGTTAGACAATCATAAAACTTTATCGGTTCGATACGGTACAAGGTGAATAATTATAATATATATATATATTTGAATATATATGTATATATACATATATATGTATGTATGTATGTATGTGTATATATATGTATCCGTTAAGCATACACGAGACAAGGAAATGAGCCAACGATCCACGCGATTTCGAAATTAGTTCTATCATACAAACACACAAAATAAGTACGCGCAACGTGTTACTTAAAAAACAAATAAACAAATAATAGTAACGAGAGAAAAATAAGAACGTACGTACATTAGAGCGTGACCAGCGGCAAGTGATACTGAAACAGTAGCTTTTGTAAACGATAACAAAAAAAAAAAATATACTTATATAAGGGTACGGAAGATTTATACGTTAAGCGTTCGTTAATGAGCAACGCAGGTGACGAGAGATTAATTTACCAACGAGTTCTCTTTCCTTCTTCTATTTTTGTTTTTTTTTTTTTTTGTGTAGCCCTTTCCTTCTATGTTTATTTATTTACCGTATTGTATAGGAAAAGCGGCGATCATTATTGACTATTAACTTCTGGTTGTGAGAACATGAATATTTTATACGTACACACACAAACACGCGCGCGCGTCATCGGGGATAGTATGAGCGGTTTCGAAACCCACGCTGCGCCATCTTCCAACTTTTGATTAATTAGAATAACATGCAGCGTTTCTTCAGATAATTGCGTTCATATGACTTTCACTGCGCACATATTGCCGGCTCATATTGCCTCCGATTCATTTAAATAAAAAAAGTTCGAGTTGTACGGCCTACGTTACTTTATTGTCTCCTCAATGACGATCCTTTGTCCTCTGTACATTGTAAGAAAAATGACCGAAGTTTCTATGGAAAAAATGGAAATTTTAAAACGGTATTCCCATTTAGTCCGAAGACTGATCAATTTTGAGACCAACTGGGATCAAGGTTAACCTTATTAGACCTAATGGGGATAGCTAATAATTTGACCTGGCTATTAGAAAATTAAAATTTAGATAGAATGTTTGTAAATTTAGGTCAAAATGGCTCCAAGTCTTTATCCCACCAGCCTTAAGGAATATCTATGCATTTTTGTTTCATTTTACAAAACAGCTGGATTAGGCTGCACTTACGGGAGTATTCTAGTCTGGAACCTTCAACAAATCGATTATTTCTATTTCATTTTCTGAAGGTACATGCCGTCGAAAATATTTCTACCAAAGGATATTGTTGAATTCGAGAAATTGATGAAGTTACACGTAGCCGTTTGAACGGTCCGATTGGGGCGAAGGTAGTGCAATAGTGCGTAGGGTATAAAAAGGAATCAAAACACATCCTGATCCATGCAAATCGACAGAGGTGGAAATTCAGGACCTCGTTTTTCGAACGGGAGGAAGATCCCCTCTGCGGTCCTGGGCTGACAGATTAGCTGTATGATTTTCATCTAAATGATAAAAAGGAACTTTAATCGCGTTCTAGACTAGAATACGCCCTTAAAGCAGCATGACTCTGCTTCTCAACAATTAAGCGAAAAGTATACGCAGCAATCTAGTAATTTCTTAATGAATTGTCAAAAGATTTCGTCTCTTTGTGTTCGATTTAAAGCACTGTTCCATCCGAGTCTTCGCGCTGCCGATATTTAAGAGTAATATCAGAAAGCGCAGCGCGCGTTCAAGTATGACGCCAGAATTAGACCCTTGCCACTGCTATACAATTTGAATGAGGCCAATCACCCAGCCACCGTCTCTGAATGGGACATAATCAGGGTGAGTCACGTCATAATGGAATGAATTGTGCAGCTTTGTGACTTTTTAAATTGTCCTGCGCCCTCGTTTAATAAGCCTTCTCCCGAATGATCATCTTTGCGCCGTTGATCGACGTAACGACGCTAATCGTGGATGGCCGAATAATCGTATATTCGCATTTCCGAACCGTACGAAGTCACGACTTTAGAATGTTACAATATTCTTCGCGCATTTTGTGATCGCACGATTACGAAATTCTCACAGTCAAGTACAAACGGGCGAATTGTTAGTCTAGCATCGTTCTACTCTTGAACGATAAGAGCACTTGTTCGGCCAGGGTCTTTCTTAGGCCCTATCATCGTGCACGTGAGATACATCGGAACCAGCATTTTCATACGTAATAATCTGACCTAAATTTAAATAGTGGCCCAGGTGTACGTTTAATTCCCATGGACATTAAGAAGTTACTCGGTATAAATACTCTTCGAGCGTTTCGGTAATGTTAGATTGATAGTTCCACTCGTGATCGCTACCACCGAGAACAATTTTGTAAAATGTTGTCGTCGGTTTTCGTGTTCGCCATTATTACGGTGCTGCAAGCATTCGGTAATTATTCCGATCTTAATTATTCCTCTATATTATATTCTATATTGCAGAATATAATTGAGAAAATTACTGAATATAGCCGCAAGCATCAACGAAATCCCAAAAATCGTCGGCGGCACAACAGCCAAAGAAGGAGAACATCCGTACCAAGCTTCTCTGCGCTACAGGAGCCGCCATTTTTGTGGCGGGTCAGTGCTGAACAAAAGATGGATATTAACCGCGGCTCACTGCTTATCGAGGTTTCCTATTGTTAACATTTCTCCCAACAAATTCTTAGTATTTTCATATTTTTCTTAAACACGATGAAACCTCGCAGCTTCAACGATAGCGGAATAACCGTCGTGCTGGGTACCAACAAGCTGGACGACGGAGGCGACATGTATCAGTCCGAAAAGGTAATTAGCCACCCGTGGTACAGTTCTACGTTCATCAGGAACGACATCGGATTGATTAAAGTGTCCGAGGACATCATGTTCGGGGACAAAGTGAAGCCTATCGCTCTGCCGAACGAGAACTTCAGCAAAATTGATTACCCGGCTGTGCTGTCTGGCTGGGGGACCACCAGCGTGAGTATTTCGAGCGAAACAGGCAGCGCTAACTTCTGCAGTTCCTTTTTCACTTATTTGTGTCTCTTTCCTTCGTTTCATATATGTCCTTAATGGGCACAACAACGTCCGCGCACACCCTAAATTGTGTTAAGTACCCGGGAGAGGCCCCGAACGAGCTGCAGCACATCGAGCTGAGCGTGATCGATCAAAAACAATGTTTAAATGCCAGCTTTCGTATCACCAACGACAATATCTGCACACTTAACAAGAGGGGTGAAGGCGCTTGTCACGTAAGTGCATTCAGGTCTAGTCGAGTGCGCGAGAAGAGGGCCCTTTTCCGTCAAAGGGACCCTCTGCGAAAGCGGCACCACTTTTTTCTTATTTGTAGTCCGAGGAAATCGTGCCAGAGCAAGTGCGTGACAATGAACGCCATTCAGTCTCGCTTATGCCGGATCGAAAGAATCGCTCTACGAGCGCGCGGTTTGGCTTCCACTTTCTTATCGAGCCACGGGTAATCCAATTTGCGATGCGCCGAGCCGGCCCGAGATTTCAATATTAGAACCGTTTGTCGCTACTTCCTTTTGCGATTGCAAGTCGTTTGTTGTCATTTAATCGATGATGCTTGCACAGGGGGATTCCGGCGGTCCTTTGGTCGCAGACAAGGAGCAAATCGGCGTCGTGTCCTGGGGAATACCGTGTGCCAAAGGACACCCGGACGTCTTCACTCGCGTCTACAGCTACAAGCAGTGGATAAATGATCACGTTCAAAAGGACAGCGATTAAATAAGATGCGGGAATGAAGGAAACTTGGTACTGGATAGGAGAAGGGAGAATGTGAACTGCGCGACAAGAAAATGAAGGAGAAGGTTTGGAGTGGATGAAGCATTTAGCAGAGAATTGAAGGAAGAAAAAGAAGAAAAGTAGGGGAGAAAGCTAGAGGAATGAAAGTACCAAAGAAACAAAGAACCAATAAATTTTTCTTTACTTTTTGTGTTTGTATAGCTTTCGAATAGTTTCAATCATTTCGGTTCAGTATTTTTTATGCGTATAATTTGTAAAATGGAAGTTAACAAATAAACTGCTACTACTTTGAATCTTGCTACATCTGCTGTTATTTCCAATAGCAGAACTCTCTGACTGCTATAGCAAAAGAAATGGCGCCGAAGTGATCCATAAAATAAGTCCCCTTGCTAGGCGGGAGACCAAACAAACGTGCCTGAACCTAACACCCGCTGTTCCATTGCTCTTACGAAATTCAGCCAAACTGTGAATAATTTTCGTTCGCCGAACTCGGCAGCTGTAACCTTTCGTCGCTGCGTGTTTAGTTACACACGTAATAATGCAACCTACGCTTATGCAAATGGACTTTAAGGTGACACTAATTTTACGGCTCATATTCGCGAATTAATGTCACACGCGCCTAATGCGCTAAATTAGATATAACATTTAGGTGGTGTGGTGGGTAACATTATCCCGAGATAAATAAAGTTGTTTGTGCCCGCGAGCATGACTGTAATTGCATTTAATGACTACGAAGTTTGTGATCGTGTAAAGCGTACCGTGACGATGACGTCTCAAACAGCAATATAAAATTATATAATCGAAAGACTGTAATGATTTATAAGAAAATCTTTATATACTAATTATGCATCGATAGAAGTTGCTGGTCACGCAACGCCGCGACATCTTTAAAAACAAAAAAATCTGAATTGTAGTTTCGGTCAAGTGGCGGATGACCCTAATTCGATGGCGCATGCCCGGATCACGTGCATTGAAAATCGTTTCGGGTGTAAGAAGGATGCAACCCCTAGTAATAGTTCCCAGGACAACAGTCCGAGGATCTCGAACAAAACCGTCGAAACTAGACTGCCAAATTCCCTTTCGACTGGCAATTGCACTCGAAAAAACAGCGCGACGACCAAGATCGAAGACGGTGTTGTTCGCGACTCGAATCTTGCAAAGATTACGACACCTATGCAAACCCTCCTGGCTGCGGTGCAATCGGGACTTATTCGAAGATTGCGGACAACGGGGCCAAGGATGCGCGCCGCTACCCCGACCTCGTCAACTTCGTCTGAAAAACTTCTGTGCGATCGATCAACCAAGCTCGTACCAGATCCAAAAAAGCGATCGGACATCGGCCGCAGGACCGTATCAACTGGTATTGGGATTTGAACGGAAATCGAGCTCGATTTCGGCCGGAAACAACAATATGAAGCCCGCGGTGCACGGGACAAGCTATTCATCTGTGAAGAAACGCGTGACCTAAATCGGTGCGCGCATGCTCGGACCGAGCAAGGACAGTTTCGAGGGTGTGTTTTCATCCCCTGTTTCTGGCGTGTCGCGAATTTCTCAGCAGCGTCGTCAGTGGCCGCCTTCTCGTGTCGTTTTGCGGGAAAAAACAGCGTGTCGGTGAAAGATGAGGACCGGTGGCCGTGCCACCTGCTGGAGCTTAACGTGCATCGTCTGAAATCGATATCGCCGTCCTTGTCTCTCGTCTTCGGCATAGTAGTAGCTCCGTAGTCGCGGCTTAGGGGTGAAATACGAGCGCGATGGAAACTGTACACGGGGGATTGTATTCGGAGTGGTAGTTCTTTTGTGCGTCGCGGTTCGAGAAAACAGCGGAGCGATTGACCTGCCATTGTTTTATCGGCTTTTCGCCGCTTAGACGACACCAGTGTTCGCGAAATCTCCTTTTCGGGATGATAAAACGCTGTTAACGGAGAGACCATTGGCCAACGTCCCTCGACTTCGTCGCGCGGACGAAGTCTGCATGCACAGAATAGTTGGTGCACTCGACGACCAAGCCATCGACAGCCATAATGCACCGATAAACACGCTGCCACGTTATCGGTGTAGGCGTAGCAAGAAAAAAGATCGAGTCCCGATCCATGACATGTACGCCGAGGTTGCATTTGTGTGCATCGAGTTCATTGTTTACATCGGAGGATCGTGACAACGCTCAAGATACACCTGTTTACGTCCACCGTACACGCAGCTTTGTCGCCCTTTGCGCAAGGTGTTCGCAGTAATTAAGGGAACGCAGATGCTTTATTATGCGACGGTATTTCGGGATGATCGTGGGAAAGAGTCGGATGCACGGTGTTTGAGGATCGTCCGCTGGAAGACGATGTTGTAAACGTAAACAGTCTCACGATATACATATACACATAGTGTGGATCCTGCAGTATTCGATCCGATGCATCAAGGTGCTTTGTTAGTGTGCATATCACGCCCAGTTAAGATCCTTGCGACGCCATAAATAATATAACGCGCCGATACATTGCCTGTATAAAAATAAGTTATCGTCTGAATTTATCAAAGGAACCTTCATGAGCTGCTGTCCATTCATGTAAGTATGTGACAAGCTTTCCTAACAGACGCCTACCACATATATGTACACATACTGTCGTACGCGATTTACACAGCGATACGTGACTCGCATTTTAGGGGTTGATAAAAATGGCGATAAAAATATGTATATATTTGTGCGACCTGCGGGGACTCATTATAATGTCGTATTTCATTTCAGTTGCTTGGGTTCTTCTCTTGACGAGAACTATAAAATAATTTCTATTACATATTTATTTGTTTTTCATCTGTTCGATTAATTATGGTTTTTAGAGGTAGCAAGAATAAATCAATGTCTATGCTTCCAACTAAATTAATATATTTGAAAACTAAAGGTACTCTAAATTTATCTTACTACTACTGTGTTGTCTTTTCCCATTTCAAAGTATACTACATTCAATATATGTACCAGCACACAAATAGTTTTCTCTTTCCTAATTTGTGTGTTAAAGTGCATGCTCGATAATAAGCTTCAAAGTTCGTTAGCATCGTTGCTATTCGTGTCTCAATCGAGGGCGATAATTAGGCGAGAATACATTCTTTTGAAAGAAAGTTGGTTTGGTAATGATGACGGATACGCCGGAAAAGTGGTTGAGGAAAAAACAGGTTCTCTGTACAGTAAGGTGTAGCATATAGATGAGCGAGGCTGATGGAAACATGAAATTCGTGACTATAGGAAATGTACAGCTGTCCGTAGGGCCGCTGTAGCAAGTGCATGGAAGTAAGCAAAGCATATACGTATCAGGCGCTACACCTTTTAACGGGCGACTGCGCAGTAGACAATTCAGCCATCCACTACATGGCGGGCGGTATACCTCGCGCAAGCATACCAGGCATTTCTCCGTCTTTGTACCGGCGTTGGTGTTGTGCGTCTCCTTACCCTTCGGCAGACTCTTGTATCTATCTTCCTTTATCACTGGTTTCCCCAGTATGTTGCCTCTCGCTTTCGTGGTAAACGCTTGACGGTGCGCCAATACTCAGGGACGTATTACCCGTCGCTCCACTGAAACTGTTGCTCGGATTTTCTAGCGAAAAAAATCATAGATCACTCGAAACGGTATTACCTTGTCACGCAATACGTGATCACCTTCTCATACGCAATCTGAATTGCACACGAATACAATAAAATCTCTCGTGCAAAATATGACGCATATGGTTGTCTTATCTGTGGACGATACTCTTCGCAAAAATCGGCTTATCTTTACCACCAAATTGAAAGCATCGTCTTGTAATTACTACCGTAACAGAACAATTGAAGTATTTGATTTCATGGATTGATTAGTTCTTACTGTTGAAAGGCATTCGTCAAAGATATTGATTGATTCAATCCCTTGCTGAAATAAACCATAAAACTGGCTGGCTTTTCTTTATTAAAAATAAATAACGAATAGTTGAAGTATGTAAAAGGTATGTAAAGTATGTAAGTAAAAATTTCGAAGATTAATCCTTGATCTTAAATGTTAATTAATCAATCGAATAGAAAATTTTAATTCTCGTTAAATTCTAGATCAGAGGAAAACAAATTTCATTAGGGGTATTAAAAGAATATTACAATTTCATAAAAGTTAAATCTTTTAGAGAATTAAAAGTTGACAAGTTGTAGCATTTATGTTATATGAATTAAAAATGTTAAGTTTGCTAACGCGAATAAAATTGATTGACCCTCAATTACTATAAAATAAGATATTGCAGGAAACTAACTTCTATGGAATATAAAATACTTATTTCTCGATGATTGAAATGTATCAATTTCGATGGAATACGTTCCAATAGGTAAAAATGCAGTTGCTGAAACTCTTTCACACCAAATACCGAAATTTCCTATGCACTAGCATAATACTTGGAAGAGATTCATTGTGGTGAATCGTAGCCACGGGCGCCCGCATAGCGCTTCTATCATTTCGTCCCTGACAGTGATGCCGGCTGCGGATGCAGGCGAGAACGTGCGCAGCTGTAAAACGTGAGTCGCTGCGCTCCGCAGCTGATGCGACTGGTCGTGTCCGTGAGCTTGTGTTTTGTTTTGGAAAAATGCGACAGGGCCACGAGGAATTTCGACGGTGTCAATGCAATCGTACTTCTCGGTCGGGAGCTAGTGAAATCTGATGACTAAATCACGAGCGATAGTGACATTCGGAACGGGACAAACTTCGAAAATGACAACCGAGATCTCCGAAGATACACGCAGTCTCGAAAGTGAAATGGAGACAGTGCTAAGCGGGTGATAACGCTTGATGTTTTTTTGTCGGTTGTGGTTCGGTTGGTCGCACAATGCAAAAACTATGCCAAGCGGACGGTACAAAGCGCACGGGCTCGTCCTAGCGACCATTTCCGCGGCGAGGACAATAGGCATCAAGGAGGAGAGATAGACAAAGAGCTCCCGTCGGCATATGCTTTGTGCTCGGTGGCTTGTGCACACGACGAAAACATTTATTAACCCTCCGCGAGACGCGAGTGTCTCCAAGACTATAGAGTCGAAGCTTTTACTCGGTGACTCTTTTTATTTATATCGGCGAACGTGACTTTCCAAGACGCATACATCGATCCGTCTTCAGGCTTAGACGATCGTCAACTCGAGTCGACCACCAAAAATTCTGTGGCTTCTGATAACTGGGATCAAAATCGACCCGATTTCGTCGTCGTCGAGTAAACACGGGTTTTTTTATTGGTTCTTCGGCGATCGATGCTGGATGTTGTAACACAAAATGTATTGGGCGATTTCGTACGCGAATGTAAAAAAAATTGTAAATAGAAAGTCCCTGGATAGCGCTTGAGAATTTGATGTTTTGATTGTTTGTACGCAATGCGAGCCGATGTGTATGTTTACTCGTTTGGTATCGCGGCACTGGGAAATGCAATTTAGGGGGAAGCTATCCCGACGAACCCGTTAGTGTCGGCCAGCTTATTCCGTGATGAAAATTTATGCGAAAGAAGCAAGGTATGCTCCACGCTCGTGTAGATCCTCTGATAAAGCCCGTGCGATGTAACGGATATATACATTTCTGAAAACAACACGGCTAAATTCATTATGGAAGCGCTGCGTTTGGCAATAGAGTGAGTTTATTAATTCATAAATATTGCTACGAACAACTACGTTTCGCAACGCATATATACATACGTATACGTATTGTTACAGACTATTGTTAGAGTACGTTCACTTGTCACGCTCGCGGTATATCGTAGCAGACAAGTTGGGAATTATACGATTACAATTTTTAATTTGATTGATTAATTAATGCTTGTGATTAGGAAGAATTAACCACGAAAAAACAATTTATGATTCAATGAGTTGTCGATTACTGATTGTAAATATTTAATAAAGATTAAAAATGTAATTATTCAGTGCAGTTGATAATTGTGTTTTTAAATCTTATAGTAGGTCATAAAAATCTATTCACTTTGAACTCAAATAATGTGATCTACTGTGAGAATATTATCATAATTACTAAATTATAATGAAACAAATTATTACACGAATAGTCTTAGTTTAATCACTGTTCCTCTTTCGAATATCCTATAATTAAATGACAGTCCTTAGAGGTTTTAATTCATTTTCTGTTTAGAAAATATGATGTATTCTTGAATAAAGGTATCAATGTTTCTTACAGATATTATTAATTTATTGCTGTTATAATTAACAGAGAATTTGTTTACAATGGTTTTATTTAAATTTATTGCATATATATCAATATCTTTTGTTTATATTTTTTCAGGACACGGCTAGGGGAGAGGATGGTCAGCATGAGCTCAAGGCTCGTGGAGACAGTTAGTATAAACTATGAAGATTTTAATGAAAGCTTTTTAACGTGTGGCACTTGTCTTTTTGTTTATGATGGTGGAGAACACACTCCTAAGTTACTACCATGTTCACACACAGTGAGTATCTCTATTTTCTGCACAACTTTCAAACAATTACTAGATCAATAATTAAATGTACAATTAATTGATTTAACGATATACACAGGTATGTTTGCATTGCTTAACAAGAATTGCTGCATCTGAAACTCGTGAACCTGGTGCCTTTCGATGTCCTATTTGTAGAGAATTAATAACAATTCCTAGAGGTGGAGTTCCTGCATTACCACCTAGTTTTCTTGTGAATCAACTTCTTGATCTTATGTCCAGACAGAGAAGAGAGGTTTGACCTCATGCTTTTTGCAGAGTTCCTCTATACAATGTACCATTAAATGTGACACATATATTTTTGTTTTGATTACAGGTGATCCCAAAATGTTCAGTTCACATAAACCAAGAGCTATTATTCTGTGAAACATGTGACACAGTCTTTTGTACAGTATGTACAGGTGGTAATCACGCAGGAACATCACCAGGTTGTACAGAACATACTATTATACCATTCAGCATTGCAATTAAGAGAATGTCTGAAATTTTGCTGTACAAAGCCAATGAATGTATATCAAAGGTAATAATCCCTATGTCTTACATGTTAAAAAAAATACAATTGTTTCCTTCAATATAAGAATTTCACTAATATTAATCTAACTTTGGATTCACAGTTAACACAAGCTCAGGATTCTGTGACCACAGAGTTACAACGTTTGGAAACTTCTAAAGACAGATGTTTGAACGCTGTGGACAATGAATTTGCAGAAATTATTGCGAAGTTTGAAAGGAGACGTTCGGAATTGCAAGCAGCGGTGACTGCGGCTGCAAGAGATAAGAAACATGTGTTAGAAGAACAACATGCACTCATAGAAGCAGAGAAGAACAAAGTGCAACAAGAATGTGAAGGCTTACAATATCAAGTATATCATTCACGATTGTTTATTAAATTTATGTTTCCTGTTTACATGTAGATAGCATTTTATTTTCATTGAAGGTCGAAGTACGGAACATCACACAAAGGATTGGAAGTTTATCTGACCAACTAGACGCGGCATCAGCACTTAGCGAACCTAAAGAAAATGCCTTCATAACATTCGAATTTAACCACAATAATGCTCTTTCTCAATTAGAGGAAGCTATTAATAACTTGGGACGAGTACGTTCTAGTACAACATTGCCAGGTACCCTGAGGATTGATAATACAGTAAAGTACCTGCTTTAAAATTGTTATTAATCATCCAAACAATTGCTATTCTCGCTAACATTACTGTTTTGAAGAATGATAGTTGGTGTAATCAACCACGTTTCATAATAGGTCTGTGCAGAGCCAGGTTAAAAGATCCTGCAATAGTTAAGTTACAAGCGATCGTTATATTAGAGACTGTCGACTACCATGGGCATCCTAGAAACGTTGGAGGAGATCTTATCACTGCCGAATTAACATTAGCGGATAGTATGCACTCAGACAACCAAAGTTCCAGAATCGAAACTGAAATAGTAGATTTAGAGAACGGTACATACGAGATACTGTTCAGACCTCCAGTTGCGAGACGCTTCGTCCTGAAATTATCAGTTTTCGAGCGGCCTATTAAAGATTATCCTTTATTTTTTGATGCGACTGTACATAACGAACCCATTAAAGTATATGGAAGACGAGGAAGCGGAAAGGATGAGTTTCATCAACCAGTTGCAGTTGCCGTTGATGATGATGGCATGATATATGTTCTAGATACCGGGAACTCCCGGGTAAAGGTATAATTTCTTAAAACTCTTGCATCATCAAGACGTTGAAATTTGTGTATGATATTTATAGATAATATTATATTCCTTAGGTACTCAATTGTGATTTAGAATTTCAAAGGCATTTAACTAATGAAGGTCTAGAAGGCCGTAGTTGTACAGGAATAAGTATATCTCAGCAAGGTATCGTTGTTGTTAACTGGAGAACACGAAAAATAACAGAAATGAGCTCTTTAGGCGACACAATTAAGTCCTTCACTCATTGCGCATTTCGAGTTAGTATTTTTCACACTGAGATAGCTATATAGTGAAATATTACTTTTATTAATCACATTTATCACTCTGATATTTAGGAACCAGTCGATGTCGCGGTAGATAGAAATTACGGACATATACTTGTGGCCGACAACGGTGAAAATTGTGTTTTTGTATTCGATTCTGACGGCAAATTCCTCTTCCAGGTTGGATAATATTTATAGTCATTAATACTTTACGCACGATCAATCGTTCTAAAATTCTGTTAATGATTATTAAGGTTGGAAAGATGGTAACGTTAAAACTAATTAGAGCCGTTACCGTTGGACGTAACGGTGAAATTGTAGTTGCCGATGATCATATTCTAGTGTTCACTGCTAAAGGAGACTTCTCTGAGGAAATATATTCAGAAGGCAAAGGTATATTTTCGTTTTGCATGTAAAGTGGCTGTGTTTGCATATGCAGATATTAATTTTAATGCATTTATAGGGAAAGGCGCTTACGGAGGTTTAGCTGTCGACGGAGAAGGTAGAATACTCGGTACACGCACTGACAAAGGTCGCAGTACCATCCAAGTGTTAAAATTAGGTGGAGGTAATATTTTGACTGAAATCGACTCGCATAGTTCAAAATTACGACGTCCTTCAGGTATTGCAGTACTACCCGACAATCACTTAGTAGTTGTAGACCTGGGAAACGACTGTACAAAAAAATATAGATATTGGTAAAAGCAGAGTTGGATGTAGCTTGAATTACTTGCTTTCATGAAACTTTTGTTATAATCCTACGCATAATTTTAACTGTGTCTATGTTTATATAAATTTTTTATATGCAATTTTTACGACTTACAAGCTTTGAATCAATCAAAATAATTTTATCGGTGTAGAGACGTGTTGATCGTGTTTTGATATTATAAGTACAACACATGCATATATTACGTATACGTATGTGTACTACTTATAAAAAAAGCGGTGTGAGTACGTTTATTTATGTGCTAGACTTAGCGACGTGCACGTCGCGCTCCTAAAGATGGAAGAGACTTGATTAGTATAATGTAATTTATATATAGTATTTTGTGTCATCGTTCGTTAATTTAATTTATTTACTTAAAACCAGTAAAAGTGATTTCGTTAACTTCTTACTACTTATCTTAGTCGTTATCTGAATGTACTATAATACACATTTCGAATTGCCATAGTCCGACATGTGAAGATCACAGCAGTTAATTCTGAGATCCTACATACATATCTCGTAGTTAAAAGATGAAGATTCATAAGAGAAATTTATTTTTCAGTCAGAATTTAATTGAAACGTTGAGTCACGAAATTTTAGCTTGACAAGACCCGAATAAGATGTCGTAAATGTTATAGTCAATAAATTTCTGGTATCTTTATACTCAATTGCTATTGATGTAATGGACTATTTTATGCTTATTAGTGTCATTATTTCGTAGTAAAAATTATAAAGGACTAGTTTCATAATTACAATGACTTAATAAAATTTTGTAATTGTTTTTGTCCTATAAACAAATGTTGTGTGTAAAACAAATATTTTAAATACTAAGTATAATATCAAGTTATGTTGTAAACGTGATACTTAATATTTTCTTTCCACAAAAGAAGGCTTGTAGAAATGTATGTTGCAAGAAAAGAATTTTATTACAATCACCAAAAGAATTTTATCGAAAACGTTCTGTGTTCTTATGTGCAATCTTTTGTTTTTTTTTCTATCGACAAATGTGCTTAGGTAACATATCATCGTATTTTTGTATTTTATATTTCTTTTTGTGGTAATCAAATACGTTTCCACAACAAAACGCAGAAATTTTCATTTGTGGACATTAAAATGTTAAAAATAATACTCCTGT